TGTGTAGTTGCATTTTTGCATGTGTTGCATTAGCCATCTTAACATGAACTAGGATCATGCATTGATTACTAACTAGTTTTTGTTTTGGCTTGGGGTACTCGGTAAGTACTTATGTTTTAGCATCCTTGCATTTGTGTGAGTGACTGCCATGATAGCATGCTTACCATGAGGCTATTTGCTTATGTGATATAACTGCCTGAATGCTTGCGGGTGGAGGTTGGGTTATTTGAATTGGAACAATGCATGGAATGAGAGTTTTAAGCCCACTTGAAAGTGGCAAAATCATGTTTTCTAAGTCCACCCGAGGGTGGCAAAATCCACATCTTAGCCTACTTGCGAGTAGCGAGTAGCACCTTCAAACTGTTTTTCAAAACAAATATGAGATGTTTTGTTCCAATTCAAGCGACTCAGTCTATACTTGTATGCTGTGCGCATCACATAGTAATTCTAGGCTAATAACCGGAATAAGAGCACATATGTTTTCAAAACTCGATATCATGCTTAGTAGTGGCCGATCTTTGATCGGACGGACGGGGATACTCATAGTTGACCTTCCCCAATCGTACCCAAGTTCCCGAGCCGAAGCAACTTTGGTGATGACGGGCACGTGGCCTTAGGCAACGAGTCAGGGTTTCCTAAATTTTCCCAAAAATAAATATTTAGGTGGCGACTCTGTATCTGGCAAAGCAGTCCATGTTTGGCACTTCTTTCTAAAAATCAGTTTTTCAAAAACAATTTGCCGGATTTGGACTCTTTGATGATTCATCGGTCTTGCATTGCACTCTGCGAGATTAGATACAGGACCGTGACATTGAGTCCTGAACTGTAGTAAGCCCAAATGAACAAAACGAGATTTCCTCCCGAGACGTTCGGGGACGTCTACAACAAGTCTTGTGTATTTTGAAAAAATGGGCTAAGTCCTTTTTGTCTGATCTGTATATATATTATGACGTAGGGATGATGTGTATATATGTATATAAAAAGTTTTAAAATTTTTCTGTCTCATATAAGTCTGCACAGCTCAATGGACGTTGTATATTTGTTATCTACTTCCGCTAGCCCCTAATATTATGTTAATTTGTCTCAGAGGCCTTCGGTAATCCCAAGATTACTGGGCGGTTTCGATGCTAAACCTATAGGGGCGGGTTTGGGTCGTGACATAAAGGGCGACTTAATTTATTTTAGCAGCTAAATATTGCTGACTAAATAATTTTAGTCACCAAAAATAAATATTTACCGAACAAATATTTGGTCGCGAAAGAGAAAAAGTAAAAGTTATGTCATTTGGTTGGCGACCAAATTATTTAGTAGGCAAAAATTCTTATACCACGACTAAAAGTATTTTGGTCACCACAAATTAATATTTGCTGACCAAAAATTTCGCCCTAAAAGGTTAATAACAAACATTATGCTAGTTATTTGGCTACTAAATTTATTTTAGTCGGCAAAAATTAGTATACCATGACTAAAATAAATTTTAGTAGCCTAAAACCTAAATTAACGCCGACCAATATTTTTTTAGTCGCCTATTATGGCATATTTAGCGATTAAATGTCTTTTTAGTCGCCAATAAATAATATACAGCTACTAAAAAAAATTAGTAGCTAAAACCTTAAACAACACCGACCAATGTAATTTTAGTGGCGTATTGTATAACTTTTGGTGACTAAATTAGTTTTGGTCACCAAATTTGGTTACCAAAAATGTAAATTGTTATAGTGCCAACAAAGTTTTCAGGAAATTGAAAGTGTTTAACTTTTTAAGGAACAACAATTAGATTTTTATTGTGTTGCCTTCAATGTCCTGCTAGAATTTACAAGTGCCACAATGGAACAAGTTGGAAATGAAAAAAATATAATATACTCTTACGTGGGATTTGGTTTTGCGGTGGTTGTAGTGACTTCTGCAATTGTAGAAGTTGTATGGTTGAAGAAAAACAAAAGGCCTATTGCATTTCTACAAGTTTTTGGCCTTACTTCTACCTTAGACCAACTTATGGCATCGACTTTGGAAATAGTACTTATTCTATATAAAAAAGAGTGGAGGCATAAGTTTTCCATCCTCTCGGCTATGTTTGCCATGTCTACACTTGCTTTCAAGGTTTTCTCGAAAATGACTTTCGTATTTTGTAAATTGCGATTATTACGGTAAAATGCAGATGATGGAGGTGGAACTGAAGAATATGAATTAAAGAGAGTAGATATTTCATTGTCATGTCTGCACTCTTCATGACCATTCCAACCACTGGAATTCCTATTGGCTCGATAGTGCTGCCAATGATGATCAGAAACTTTTTAATGGTGCTGGTGCTGCTCATGATCAAGAAGTTTCTATTGGTTTGCCTCTCTTGCTTTGTTATCTTGCTCCGTACTGTGAGATATGAGTAAAGAAACTCCATACCATGAAATATAAACGAAGAAACATTTATACTTTTACAAACTCATAGTTACTTGGCTCTGGCCATGTATATGGTACTTATAGGATTTTGAACATATATATATATATGTATATAGGATTTCAAAAGTATATGTATTACATTGGATGTGTGGTTATATGATTTTGAACATATATGTCGTGTATAGGATTTGAAAAGTATATATTACATTGGATTTATGGTTTTATTGGTAAGATTCACATATACTGTTCTCTACATGTATTAGATGCACTCTTGGTTGTTTGTTTGTTTGTTTTTTTTTTTTTTTTTTTTTTTGTGATTTATATAAGTTGATGATATTTTTGGATAAAAAATTTAACTCAACATTGATATTAAAGCTTGGTTCACAGAAAATTAATTGAGTTCAAGTTTGAGAACAGCTCACGTCGGGCTTGAGTTTGGCTCCTTCAATTTCAAAAACTCGAGCTCCAAAAAAATAAACTTGAGCTCGAATGGAACCAACTCAATTAAGCTAAGCTCCAGCTTGTACTTGAAAAGGAAAAGAAAATTATTTGAGACCACTAAAACAATGAGATCTAATAGCTCTAAAAACACTATATCTCTAATTGATTTGATGTTTTGCTCTTTGTTTTTTTTTTTTTTTTTTTTTCACTGTACCTCTAATTGATTTGATGTTTTGCTCTTTGTTTGTTTGTTTTTTTTTTTTTTTCTAGACTGCCAACTCATTAGAACTGGCTTAGTGGTCCATTTTTAGTGGGATCTATCACCACTGTAATCAAACTTAAAGGCTAACACGTGGATCAGAAACATAAGAAGCTGCACCTACACTTGGATTCAGACTTGTGTGTTTGAGGGGTGCACGGTCGTCTTGGCCCCGCAGATTTTGAGTAAAAAGGGTCCCCAAAAACAAAACACACAAAAAAAAAAAAAGCAATTCTATTTATAAATCAGTCAATTTTAAAAACTACAATAAAATAAAATAAATATCATTCTTGTCTCGAACTTATAACTCAATATTTCAAAAGTTAATAAGCACCAAAACCATCTTAAAACAAACCTTAAACAAAGTCGCATATACTATCGGACAAAAATACAAGCAAACCTCCAAAACAGATTTCTTCATAATCAAATAAAAAATAATAAGATGGTAGTTCACCACTTCACATAAAATTTCACTTCATTCTCTACATTCTCCACCAGCAAACCTGAATCCGAGGCATGCCTGTGCCGATAATCAAAATTAAACAGCTACTCTTCACCTTTGCCACTTTCTATCTGAAACAAAACAAGACTCAGGCAATAAGTAACCAAACATATACCAAAACTTCACATTGGTAGACTTTGGACAAACTGTGTAACATTATGCTGAAGATTAAAGGGTAGATGATGACCTAAGAATGATTACTAAAGAAAAAAAAAAAACAAATCATGAGCATCTGAAAAGGGTGACAATAGAGTAATTAGCTGACACCAAAAAAACAGAAAACAAAAAAACTGTTGACAAACAACTTAGAGAAATTTGTGCAAATAGTGTCATGACAAACTAAAAGAAATTTCGACTGTATTTGGATGATTGATTTGGAAAGAAAAAGAAAAATGCAAGGAAAATGGAGAAAAAAATTAGCTTATATTCATTCACTTTTTTCCTTTCCCTCCACATATCCTTGCCTAAATCCTAAATCCAAACAATCTTAAAAGAATAGCTGAGAAACAATTTTAAACTGACACTCCTGACAAAATATTGCATGCAAAAGACACGGTTGGGAAAACACAACAAACAAAATCTCAGCAGTGGAGAACCTTTTAATATGACAAGAGATACAACATAGTAACTTGAAGTGAAATCCAACTAACCACAAGCAGCAGAGACGCTTATGAATCTATCCCCCCATTCGCCAAAAGTTTATTATTATATTATTAAAGCTAAGGAAACAAAGGGGAATTTGACCAGAAGGTGCAAGTACAATTCAGCCTCAGGCTTGGTTTGTTGCTCTTTTAGTTCAGTTCAAATTCCTATAGTCTATAACAACCCTAAAATTTCCTCTTAGAAAGTCAAAATACTCAACACTAAACTGCATTAACTGTTTTCTAAAAGCACATAAACTACCTACAAAATCCAGACAAAATTTCCTGTGTCACCGATCTAGATCAAATGGTACCAGATCCTACACAGATTAAACATAGCTGGAAGAAAATTCTGGGGATGAGTCCATCAGGTTAAGTCAATGGATTTATGAAGTAAATTTGCAATACCTTCTATCTGAAAAGAAAAAGGAGGTAGTTTAGAAAATACCATGAAGATGACCATTTCCCTTAGCACCCTGCTGTGCCTGAGACGTAGATCGCTGGATACGAGGAGATCCCTGCCTTCCATTTGAAGCAGGCAAGGAATGTCTCTTCTTAATGTAAATGTCCTTGTCTTGCACATCTGGACTTGATCTCGGGGAGCTAGTTGCAAGAGCTTTGGCTCTTGCAGATTCTGTCGCTTGCATGTAACTTGGGAGAGAATTACTACTATTACTATCTCTTGGTTCCTGATCAACATAATCAGGTCTCCCTGAACCAAAAGAATTGCGTCGCTTCCCAGTTTTATTCTCTTTAGGTAACTGTTCCAAACTGCTCCTTGTGACAGAATCATGGTTAGACCTACGTTTCTGGTTAGTTGAACCTCTTTCACTTTTAGTCCTCTCAGTTTTCACGGATACCTGACTAGAAGGTGTTACCTGGAATTCAGGGACTGTCATATGGCTTCTTGGAGATGCTTCTGGTGATGACTTGTACATTTTATGACCCGTCTCTGAACCCAACTTGATTTGTACATTCGGCTGTTCCTGTAAGGAATCTACAGCTGTAACAGAAATGACAGGTTTGCCATTAGCACCATTAACATCATCAAGTTTCTCTGGCTGCACCAAGATGGAATAGGCTGAATCGGATCCTGGGATGGTAGTCACACCATTGGCTTCAATATCCAGGGTACTGACATTGCTATTCCCTTTCTCAAAAAGTATGGCTTCCTGCTCAACACCCGTAGCTCCAATCTCAGAACTTTCTGGGGAATCAAGAGTGGAAGTAATAGAAAGTTCTGTCCCACATTCAGAGCCACCAACTTTAACCCTTGAGGTATGCAAAACCGAGTTCTCTGCCAGGCCAATCTCCATTGTCCTGACTGCATTGTCCATGGCATATGAAACTGCATCCGAGTTTGATTCGACTCCAACATCTTGACTGTAGGTACTGGTTGATCTTGCAAAATTAGCAGTTGAGCTCAGCTCTTCAAATTTCGACTTAACAGCAATAAATGCAGGGTTAGTTGCTTTTCTCATTCCAAACACAAACTTCTTTCCCTCAGTCTCCACTTGTTCGGAAGCAAGACTTTTCACAGAACATGCAGAATGTTCATTCTCCATTTCAGGCTTGCTAGTATTAGATTTGAGCTCCATCTGAGAAATCGAATCTGATTGCTTAGTTTGATTAGGAAGCAAATCCAATGACTCTTTTAAATTTGATGTGCCTGAATTCTCAGGCTGAGGCAGCTCCAGATTATCACTTATAGTAGATGAGGCTGGTTCACATGCTTGAACGGCAACATTGTCAGCATCATAAGTCATCAAAGTATCTTCGCCTTTAGAAGGCACTACTTTTTCCCTGATAGTGGCCTTCAAATCTGTTGACTCACTATCTCCAGATGGAAATTCAGTTTCCACTTCACAGCCAGAACACTCATCCTTGTCCTCCTCATGTTGCTGCATTCTTAACCCTGGTTTCTGTGGCTGTTCAACTCCCATTGATGAAACAGACATCCACCTCTCCAACCATTTCCAAGATGAATCAGATCTAGAAGGATCACACTTAATGTGGATATGTTTGGTCCTTGGTGTTGACTCCAGTAGCTTAGACAGAATAAAAAAAATAGTTTCAGTTCAAAAAATGCATTGTGAGATCGATCACCTGCAATATAGTTGCAGGTGAATGGAAAAAAAGATAGAATTTCCTTTACCTGATGAGCAAACTTGTTCTTAAGCAGCTTCTCAATGGAAGTGTACCTTACATTTGGTTTGGCTAGTAAGTCTCCCTTTTCCTGAAACAAGAGATGGACAATCAAGGCTGCAACAAAAACTATTTGTGCAATCAAATATATTCAAAGATGATCTATCGAAGCATGAAAAGCTATTAACCTTGCTTTCATGAAATGAAAATTAATATAGAAAAACAGATCCAAAGGATCACAGAATAAAAGGGGGAAAGGTCATAGGTCAGACTTGCTTTATGGTCATTCAATACTAAGAACCTTGATCGACATCCATAGGCATTTCCTAAAACCTCATCTTGAGGACTGTCTCAAGTAATTTCAGAACATTCACTCAACTGACAATTCAGTACTATTATATATTGAGCTCCTCAATTCCATTTTCAAATTAGATAATGATTTTGGAAGTCTTAGCTGATTAAAGCACTTTCGCTCAGCCTACAATTCATCAAAAACTAATTATTGGAAAACAAGATAAAATATAAGATGGATAACAAAGATGAGTTTTTCCTTCGATCAAAATGAACTAAAAGATGTCAAATTAGCTTGCTCCCTATATCTATTCAAGATATTGCATGTGTGTGCAATAATTGATGTACTTAAATGTCTTCATTGCTGTGCACGCATTTTGGTACACTGTATCCTTCAACAAGTAACGAGCATCAGATATCCTGGAGAATTTTTTTATCATCTCACAATCAATAGTGAATCTAATTTGGCAAAGAGTGATGTCTCAAGTTGATGGCTGGTGTATGATCTCCAGTCAAAACATTTGAACATGACAAGAGACAACCCAAGACAAGTCACTGACCCAAATTAGAGCATTACCAAGAGCTTTGAATTGTGATCGTCCTTCACATGATTCCCATCTAGTTTCCCGTCAGAAGAAACGCGAGCTTGACGAGCACGAACAAGGGTTTGCATTTTGACTATGGCTTGAAGACAGTGTAGAGTTCCCACAGCTTGCCTCCGAACCAAATGCCCACGTACAGCAGCTTGCAACTTAACTACGTTCTTAAGCTTCAGCAATTCTCTCTGAGCCTGGTAAACCCATTTAGGCAGGGAAGAAGTTAAATTTGTTATTTGACTGAAATTCTAAAATCTTAAAATGGAAAAAGTTCATACCAAAAATCCTCTGATCGCAGCCTGGATGATAACTATAACAGATTCATCTGGGTCTACATCATGCATTGTGTCATTCTCTGTAGCAACTCTGGTATCAGACACTTTCAAATTCGCTGAAGTCGACAATCGGGGTTTCTCATCTGTCCATCCCATTGCAGAAGTTTTCTCTTGAAAAGCCGTGTTGGGTTGAGTTTCTAAGTTGACAATAGCAGTTTCTGGGCCATCCTTATTCAAAGAAGAAGGCATTTCAGAAATTACAATGTTGCTTAGCACTCGATGCCTGGCAGATCTCTTCCGAAAACTCCATCCACGTTTGTCACTTGAACCCTTGCTCTATAGAAAAATTCCAACAACAACATTCAAGAGAGAGAGAGAGATGGAACCTAATTTCCCCCATCTTTAGATGGATATTACATGATTTCCCAGTTTTAAATTAATTAAAACTTTCCTCATCAAAATTCTAACCCTTGTTCCACCCTGAGAATGATTTTATAGACCAGGCTAACGGACAATGCGGTTGATCACACCATAATATAGATGAACCTCCCTACACCCTATCACTCCACTTGGGTGGTGAGAAGCCTTTCCCACATAGGATGGTTCTGACGGTTTAAAATCATTTAAACACGAAATGTGTCTCTCGCAAATGGTTTGTATGATGTATCCATTCACTGTTGTTGCAACCTTTTCAAGAACCACACCCCTTGGTGAATGGGTGCCTCAAAAAGTATAAATAAGTGGCTTGGATCCATTGCAAAGGTACTAAAAAAGTTCGCTCTACTCCAGACATAACTTTGTGTGTTATAAACACCCTCATGAGATACTGGTCTCTCTATGACCATCACATACGACATTTTAAGGCACTTAATGGATTTATAGTTAAATAAAAACAAATTTCTATATTCCATTCATTATTAAATGCAATGCAGTGTTTAAGAAACAACCTTTTTTTTTTTTGCCAAACAAGCAATCAATTGTTTGTTTTGTTGTTTGTGTGTGGGTGCACGCGCAAGAGCACGCATGTGAGAGAGAGAGAGAGAGAGAGCATTAACTGTATAAACTGCTAGTTTTTTGTTTTCCATAACAAGAAGAAATGTCTAGGTTTTCTTATCAAGAAAAGAAATGCAATATAAACAGAATTCTACTAATATAGAATGTAACTCTAAACATGAAAGTAAAATGCGTAATTCATAGAACAACGAAGGATCAACTTTGCATGACATTACTTTAATCAAATATCACTTGGTACTACCGTGTTTTTCTATACCATACGGGCATGTTTGATTGACAAGATTAGAATATAGAATTAGAATTATTAATCCGTGAATCCAATAATCTTATGTTTTAAAATTTTGTTTCAGGATTATTAATCCAATGAATAATTAATCCAATGAATAATTAATCCAACAAATTTGTAAGATTATTAATAATGGGATAGGGGTGAGATTATATATCCTGAATTGAGAAATAAAATAAAAAAACTCTTTTATCCTTGACTAAAAATTAAAACACTCATTATTTTTATATAATTTTATATTTTAGAAGGCTAAAAATAATTTTTAAAAATTTAAAAATATTTTTTGACATTTATTTTATCAAATTAGTTTATATTTAAAAAAAAAAAAAAAACAAACATGACCTTTGTATTTTTATTTTGTTTTTATTTAATTATTTATTATTTTTTTAAAACCACGTTTATGAAGAAATTTTGATAAAGTAAAGATAGTGAAGAAACATTGATGGAGGGTAAAATTAGAAAATAAAATAAATATAGTTATAATCCTACATTCATATGTTTTCTTATCTAATGCAAATCAAACAATGGACAAGGGGATAATTTATCCTACTAATCCAATTGGATAGTAAATATCACATTAATTTAATAGATTATTAATACTTTAGTCTTGTGAATCAAACATAGCCTACAAGTATTCTTTCTTATTCCATCTTCATTTGTGTGTAAGATATATGAATTAGCATAGTACAACAGTATAATGCCTCCACTAGCATTTCGGAGGCCAAATTTATTAACTATGACGCTTTCAATAAATCAACCACAAGTCTTAAGATTGTGAGCATAATAGCATGTAATTTGTGTGTTTAACGCAACACAAATAACAAGGAAGCTGTTACTGGCAGAAGTCAATGCAAAATTAGTAAATGAATTACTCAAGTGAAATATTGCCATTTCAACCTGATATTCATATGCAACAGTTCTATACATAGCTTCTATCCTTCCATAGTCTAATCCACTTTAATTTGTTGCCAATTACATGCCTAAGTGGCAAAGATTATGCAAGTTACATGCAAAAATATGCTAAATTGTTGTCAGCTAATGGACATGAAGTCATGAATTTGAACTTGAAGGCTTGTGCTTCCAGACCTAAAAATGTCTTACTTTGCGTCCCATCAATTTAAACAAACAGTAAGTAACTTAGAAGAGCAATCCTAAACTGTTTAATAACCAGGGGAACAAGCTTTCGCATGATCAAAAGCATCAAATCACTTGGGGCCGATTTAAATGTGGATCAAGATCCTATCTCAATCCCAATATTTGTGAAACCTTCAAAAAATTGCCAAAAACATCACATTCAAATACAAAGGCCGTCAAATCCCTTAAACATCGTATACTCAAGATTCTAATCACTTTACTCTACAGACATTTTCCCAGCAACCAAACAGAGAGGGTAAAAAAAAAAAAATTAACCGTAGATCAGAGATACCTCAGAAGCTTCGATATCATCGTCTTCATCGACGGCATCGCTGCTACAGGTAATGATCTTGAAGCAAGATGCAGTGGATCTTCCCATTTTGATCTCTGTGTGATTGATTGAGCTCGCGTAATGATCTTGATTACACTCTCTATCACTCACTCACTCACTCACTCATTGTTCATGGCGGATCTCAACACGGTCCTAAAATATAGCTAAGTTCTGGGTTTTGAGTTCCGCTAATTCATCAACACCGTTTTCTTCGCTAAACAAATATATATCCGTTGAAACGGAGCGAGATTGTTGAGCAAGCAAGAATTTTTTTTTCTTTTTTTGAGCAGCAAGCAAGAAATTCATTACGAGTAGGAATATGCTATGTATTAATTTGTGTATTGTATGGGATAATTTTAAAATTTTAAAATATTTATAATTAATTTTTAAAATATTTATAATTTATATGCTAAATAAGACTAATTTTATATATTAATTAGTACTGGTAGCTAAAAGATATCCACTCGGACAAATACCAGGGGTAGGTATCTTTTGATTTACTTTTGTTTTAGATTTTAGAAGCGTGCATCAAAACTAACCTATTCCGCTACTTAATAGCGATTGTTCTTATCGGACAAAACTACCCATTGAAAGTAATTGTTTGTTTGTAAGATAAGGAGTCAAAATGAAATTTAAATTAATAATTTTACTATTAATAATAGAAGTGATATTATCAACAAGGTCATATCTGGGCCCACTTGTTTATTTTTAAGACAATCGGAAAATGGACGAAAACGTTGGGTTAATTCAAGTGTCTTACTATTTATTATAGGGGAGAAAAATGAAAATGTAAGGCTGTATTTGGTGTGCAACTTTAATTAATTTTTCATCTTTAGATTCGAACGTTATGTTTGGTAGAATTTCTTAAATCATGATTCTAAATTAATTTTAAAACATATTTTGAATATATATTTGATAAATTAGGAAGTTTTTGAATTTTTAATCTACGTGATCGTCTGCTCAGATATCTTTCTGAATGTTCGGCTGGTCATTCGATCAGTTGACCGGAATAACACTTTTTGATTTTTTTTAATTTTTTTTTTACAATATAAGGAGTCAAAATGAAATTTAAATTAATAATTTTACTATTAATAATAGAAGTGATTGTTTGTTTGTAAGATAAGGAGTCAAAATGAAATTTAAATTAATAATTTTACTATTAATAATAGAAGTGATTGTTTGTTTGTAAGATAAGGAGTCAAAATGAAATTTAAATTAATAATTTTACTATTAATAATAGAAGTGATTGTTTGTTTGTAAGATAAGGAGTCAAAATGAAATTTAAATTAATAATTTTACTATTAATAATAGAAGTGATTGTTTGTTTGTAAGATAAGGAGTCAAAATGAAATTTAAATTAATAATTTTACTATTAATAATAGAAGTGATTGTTTGTTTGTAAGATAAGGAGTCAAAATGAAATTTAAATTAATAATTTTACTATTAATAATAGAAGTGATTGTTTGTTTGTAAGATAAGGAGTCAAAATGAAATTTAAATTAATAATTTTACTATTAATAATAGAAGTGATTGTTTGTTTGTAAGATAAGGAGTCAAAATGAAATTTAAATTAATAATTTTACTATTAATAATAGAAGTGATTGTTTGTTTGTAAGATAAGGAGTCAAAATGAAATTTAAATTAATAATTTTACTATTAATAATAGAAGTGATTGTTTGTTTGTAAGATAAGGAGTCAAAATGAAATTTAAATTAATAATTTTACTATTAATAATAGAAGTGATTGTTTGTTTGTAAGATAAGGAGTCAAAATGAAATTTAAATTAATAATTTTACTATTAATAATAGAAGTGATTGTTTGTTTGTAAGATAAGGAGTCAAAATGAAATTTAAATTAATAATTTTACTATTAATAATAGGAAATAAATTATCAACAAGGTCATATCTGGGCCCACTTGTTTATTTTTAAGACAATCGGAAAATGGACGAAAACGTTGGGTTAATTCAAGTGTCTTACTATTTATTATAGGGGAGAAAAATGAAAATGTAAGGCTGTATTTGATGTGCAACTTTAATTAATTTTTCATCTTTAGATTCGAACGTTATGTTTGGTAGAATTTCTTAAATCATGATTCTAAATTAATTTTAAAATATATTTTGAACATATATTTGATAAATTAGGAAGTTTTTGAATTTTTAGTCTACGTGATCGTCTGCTCAGATAGCTTTCTTCTAAATTAATTTTAAAACATATTTTGAATATATATTTGATAAATTAGGAAGTTTTTGAATTTTTAATCTACGTGATCGTCTGCTCAGATATCTTTCTGAATGTTCGGCTGGTCATTCGATCAGTTGACCGGAATAACACTTTTTGATTTTTTTTAATTTTTTTTTTACAATTATCAATCGCCACCTGTTATTTGAGAAAAAATAATTATATTTATTTTTGATATTTTTTATATATAAAAGTTATATTTTTAGGCTAAAATGACAAATTATTTTTTTTAAATTGAATTTTAAAAAGAATTTGGTTATAAACTTTGAATATAATTTTCAATAGAATTTTGAATTGTGTGTTTAGTTTAAGTTTTGAAAATTCTTTTCAAAATTCATAACCAAATATCTTTTTTCATTTCATATATCACATCAAAAATTCAAAACTCATAACCAAATATTTTTTTTTTCAAATCATAATTTTAAAACTCACAAACTCAAAATACAACTTTATTCTTAAATCATAATTCTAAAACTTTATTAAACATTACTTAAAGTTTTCTGTACAAAAAGAAAATGTAAATGCTAATGAAACCTCCGGCCCTCGTCCTTGGGATGGAATGATCCCAATTTAGCCCTTATGCTGTTACTTGTTTTTCTATTATTTATATATTAGATTAGTTTTTTATTATTATTATTATTTTATTATTTAATATTTTTTTGTGCGGTGCAACAAAGCCTAATCTTGGAATTAGCTTCAATTTCTCAAAAGTAATATTGAATGATAATGTAATATCATCTCTTTATTTGGTTATTCCTCCTCTCTTGATTATTTTTTTTACTCATTTATTGATCAAAAATTTCAATATTGTCACAGCAAGACTCTTTATTATATCCAAAAAAAAAAGAAAAGAAAATTTTGTTAAAAAATACCCTAAGAAAATTTTCAATGGACTTGTTAAAGTCCACTTTTATTTAAAAATTAATCAATTAACACTTATCCAAAATTAAGTTCCAATGGATTTGTTAGTCGGGGTTGTTTGAGATAAATTAAATAAGTGTACTTTTTGACTTTTTATGAAATATAGACTGTGTATGGATTGAGTTTGAAGTGATGTGGTAGAGAGGTGATGTGACTTAAATAAGATGATCTGACTTAAATAAGAGAGTGACTTTTTGACTTTTTTTTGTTATGCCAAACCAATTAACACTATTAATGAGCCCCCACAGAGAAAAGGTACAGAGACCGGTGAGAGACTGTTAACACACAATTTTTTATAATAATTTTTTTTATTTAACAAATAGAAATGGAATTTTATCGTACATCTTAACATTATTAGAACACCCACACACTCAATAAATTAATAAATCTGAACCTATAAAATTTGGTTCAATTTTGAATATATTTAACGTGTTAAACACACTAATACACAATTTTAACATTTCTATTGAAAATAGTTTAAAGTCATTGTTATTCAAAAAATATTTGTTAACATGTTATAAAAATGTACTATCAAAACCATACTAAAACCAAAAAATCAAAAATTAAAATCATGGTCTATATCTTTATGCTATTCTCTGTGTACTTAACTATATCTAATTTCTTTCGTATGCTAAACTTCTATGTATTTGATGTTCTACAAAAAATGACTTGAATTTTAAGGGTTAATAAAGTCAAAAGAGATTGGTGAGGGAGCGGATAAGCCAATACTTTTTAGCTTTGCTGTACTTTAAACTAACCAGATAAATCCAAATCTCTATTTTTAATTTGGTTTCGAGTGTTGATAAAGTGTGATCCAATTTGATACCTTTTCTTGGTTTTAAAAAAAAAAAAAGAAAAAGAAAAAAAAGTGTGACATCTTTTATCTTGTTGGGTGCGGTGGTGTGGTCCACCTCTTATCCAGTTAAAGTTTTATTGGGCTTAATTTTTGCACAATATTATAGACTTTTAAAAAAATATAATTTTTATAATTTCATTCACTTGTGATTGGTTCATGGGAGTTCCCAACTTTGGAGGTCCAATCATTTTTGTTAGTCTTTAAAGATAATTTTTTATTTTTTTTAATTTTTGGTAAAAAATTTTGTTTGTAACTTTTTAAAGGAATATAATTAAAAAAATAAAATATTTATGAATTTAAAAAAATAAATAAATACAAAAATGAACTCAGTTTTTACCAAACGGAGGTTGTCAAGTATCCGTCTTACGGATAAACAGATAATAATGTTGCACCTTTGACCCCTTGGTATATAACTAATCCTATTTTGACAGCTAATTTGTCTTGCTCTGCCCACGTGGATAGCACTCTCACTGACACGTATGATCACACGAGTGCCACTCTCCCTTGCCTGCCTCGATACTTAAATTTAACTGTGATCATACATAACTCTAATATTAAAATTTTAAATGAAATTTTGGTGGGGTGAAAGAGAGAGAATAGAGAGATAAAAAGGAGTGTGAATCCCCTATTTACATAGGCACTTTTTACATCATTAGAATTGTATTAAAACTCTTAAATTAAAATTTCTAAACATTATTCTAAATTTAATTATTGTATTATGTCTCCATTATATTATTTCTTTTAGTATTTTTTGTAATAAATTTTCTAAATTTATAAGTTTCCCAAGTTGAGATTGCCATGAATTTGTTACACCCACAAAATATTCCACCCACTCTTTATCATTTTAAATTAAAATTTTATTTATAAAAATAAATAAACCTACCAAAATGATCTTTTACTTTAAAAATGTTAAATACTATAATAATTTATAAAAATGTTAAATACTATAATAATTTATTGAGAGAACAACATTTTTTATAAGAAAATTTATGGTAAAATTTTTTTTTTTTGAGGTCCCTAATATTAAAATTTTATAAGATAAAGGACATATAATATTTTTATAATAATTAAGGTCGCTCAACATTTTCACAGAAAAAATTCGACTCAAAATTTTTTTACCCGACTTGAAGAAATTTTAAAACATTTCTTTGTGATTATACCAAAAAAAATTTGAAATTTCTCTGTAAAATCAAAGAAATTTCTTTCTGAAAATTGAAATTTTTTTGAGTTGGAACCGAAAGTTCTCTGTGTCGGGCGAAATTTCTCTGAGTCGAATTTTTTCTGTGTA